AATCTGTTTGCATCTGTTTTACAGATTCCACTTGTTTTCTGTGCTGGGATTCCATCATGTTCCTCAGCTCCTCAATTTTTTTTTTTTTTTAAAAATCTGTGTCTGCTCTAGAGTTATTAATCATGTCTTTCACTATGGACACAAATTCAGTTGTTATCTGAGAAATTATTTCTGATTTTAGTTTTTCCAAATCTTCTCATTGCCAGTTCAGGGAGTTCAGGTAGTTATCAGATTGTTCCATCTTGTTGACCCTTGGGGTTGCCTTGGGAATCTGGAAGTCTGGTTTTGAGTCTTGTTTAGGTGTCTTTCCATTTCAACTGATGCAGTCTGCTCCACCTATACTGAGGTGACTCTTTGCTCTCCCAGTGGGCTTCAGTTCTCAACAAGCGTCAGAGAGGCCTCTCTGCTGTTCACCATTGAGCCAATTCCTGGGTTCAGAATGATGCCTTCTGGATCCCCATACTGAGCTGTTATCCGGGAACACCTTTGGCTGGAGCCTGAATGCTTCAGCTGCTGGTGTCTGGGTGGGGCCCTAACTGGGGCCTGCATACCTGTGTAGCTGTTGTCTAGGTGGGCTTCTGGCTGAGGCCAATACCCACTGCCTGATGGCATATGGGCAGGCCTCTGGCTGGGGCCTGTGATCCTGCTCAGCTGTTGTCTGTGTGGGCCTTTGGCTGGGGCCTGTGAGCCCAATCAGCTGGTTTCTGAGTGGAACCCTGGCTGGGGCCTGTGAGCCTGCACAGCTGTTTCCCAGGCAGGCTTTTGCCCAGGGCCTACATGCACAAGCTGCTGGCATCTGGACGGGCTTCTGGCTAAGGTCTGCCTGCAGTCTTTGATGGTATCTGGGTAGGCTACTGGCTGGGGCCTTTGTGCCTACACAGCTGTTGTCCAGGTGGGCTTCTGGCTGGGATACATAAAAGAATTTGGGAAGAAATACAACTGATTCTTACTATTCAATGGTTCTGCATCAATTCTGCTTGGATATACCTGAGGGAATTTAGTTTCCAGAAGCACAAGCAAGATATTACTGTAGCCCAACCTGAGGCCTCAGGTCTTTAAGACAAGAGTCATAGATGAATTTGTTTCAAAGTGTATTTATGTTGCTGATGTTGTGGTAGAAGACTTGGGGCCAAAATATTGCTGGTAATTTGTTGTCTGTTTGGAGGAAGAGGGTTTGCTACTGAAAAGTATTCTACCTATGTACATTTTAAAATTTCATGTAAGGGATTTACCTGCATTTTTTATGTGAAGTAAATATTTTTAAATTCATTGAAAAACATAAAATAACAGTATCACATGATAAGAATGGGAATATTTCCCTTCCTCTTTTCATTAAAAAAAAAGCCACTATACAGCAATAAGTAAGAAAGGAAAATAAACAGAGCCATTCCATTCCACGAAGAAGGGGCAAAGTAGACATAGGGGACAGCTAAGGACTGTCTGGTGCGCCAGTTATTTTCTTTTTCATAACTTCATTACTTACTGGACGGATGATTTTGGCTATGGTCTTGTGTTTTTGTTTCTCAACTTAAAGTCTGTGTCGTGCTCATTTGCCCCTGAATCCTGCAGCCAACACAATCCCTCCTAAGCAGGTGGTTCTTACTCATCTCCCAACCGCTATTCCTTCCCCCAAGGCCTGTGACAGTCAGAAGGGCTCACACTCACTTCTGTGTTTATCAAAGTCATTATACCCTTCTTTCTTTCAAGTGCTTTCCACTGTGGTTTGGGTGGGTACCAGTCCATGGGACACTCTCACATCTTTCACATTGTGACCTTTAAGAAGACAACCTTAATTCTACTAAAGCATGGGAAGAAAGAAATAATAGATGTGGTGATTGATTAGGGGGTGCTTGATTGACTTCTGAAAACAGGCTTTTGAGTTTATGGGGAAAAAACTCTTAGAAGTGATTATTTTCTATCACAATATTGATTATTATGGGTCAATTAAAATTGACTTTGCTCTATAACTTATTAGAATACAATACCAAAGTACTGTTTACTGTTTCCATAAAAAATACTGATTTTCAGTGACACTTAAAATACAATTTTTAGAGCATTATTAGTATTTTGTTTATAAAATAAGGAAGAGTGTGAACCAGCAGCATCCTCTATATTGATTATAATTTAAATGAAAATTTAAGAAGTAGTACTTATCACTTTCAGCATGAGGAGAGTCTAACAGCACAACCGAATGTGAATTAATTGCAGTTACAGATGCTTTGTAGAATTCTGTACCTGGACAGATTTACACTTTTTTCTACGAGAGTTGTGTGCTTGTGATATTTTGATAAATTACGTGTTTGTTAATACATTTACAAACTTAAAACACTGTGGGAGATTGTACTCAGTATAGCTGAGGTTTCTGTATTCTAGCAGAGGTTAGGTTCCCTGAGAACCTTCAAACTTTGGGTGAGATTGTATTTATTAATATAGAACATCAGGTCTCATTATGTCGGCCACTCATCCTGGCTGATGAAATGTGATCCACCTCCACTGTGGATTAATCCACGTCAAATCACCCCAAAAGGCCTAAAAAAGAAGTGCTGCTTATTAAATTTTGTAGAACTTTTATATAAATCAGTGCTTAATTTTATGCAGATGGAGAACTGAGCCTGTTCAGAAGAAGTGTCACCAAGAGACTTGGGCAAGGAAGGGAATTTCTAAAGAAATAAAGTAAAATTCTGATTCTTAATTTCCATGGCCATTAGAATTTCTTGGAGTGTGTGTTAGGAAATGCACATTCTGTGTCTCCAAGCCCAGGCGTTCTGGCATAGTAGGGCTCAGGTGAAACTCCTATCTGATTTAAGATGAATCCTGGATGGTTCTGATGTCATTGTCCCACTTTAAAAAACCCATTACAGTTGTGCTTGGGCCTATACCTGCTGGAGAAGTCTCACATTAAGAATATGTGTCCTAAGCAACACAAGCAAAGCAAGACTTTAAAGTTAGTGAACTTTACCTCTGACCTCAGGTCATCTCTGTTTTCAGTTCATTTTCTTTTTATATTTCCCCTCTGTTCCCATGCTATGTTAAACTTAGATGTCATGAGTCTCATGCGTAAGGTGACAGGCGGATATCTAATGAACTATCCCATGCTGGGGAGGTGACTTCTAGTACTTCAATGAGTGACTCACCTAGGCATGTGTGCCTTTTAAAAATTGATGCAGAGAATGTGGGATGTTCATCACAAAGAAAAAATCTCAATACTAAACATCCAGATGCCCTGGCAGTACAGTGGGGCAGTAATTGTGGTTTGCTTGCCTCAACTCTTGGCAAACCTCCTTTAAAAATCAGCTCTATTCTTAGGAATGTACAGGATTTCCTTTGCAGACTTATGTAGACGTTGAAGAGGACAGAATTGACCACAAAAGTCATCAAGAGTGCCAAGTCCTTGTATTCCAGCTTTGCTGGTTGGGGTGGACAGAATCAACCTAGAATAAAAAAAAAAACCCAAAACTGGCGAACATGATCCAAATTTACTTGACCCTAATATGATACTAATCTGAATCAAAAAGCTAGCACAAGAGTTTTTCAGTAAGAGGTATTTCTTTCTAAAGAAGGTGGGTCATCCCACAAAGGAGAGGCACTGGCAACAGCCTTAAGAATTAGGGATCAGAAATCTTTGTGCTCTTCCCCCAGAATCCTGCACCAGTATTCCTGGTGGACAGAGCCTGTAGGTGAGAGTGTTTGTAAGGCAGGTGAGAAGGAGGGCCACGGTGAACCTGGCCTGATCAGGAGAAGTAATTCTAAGTTCTCAGTTTGGCATTACCATTCATTAGCTATGTGACTTTGGGTGGGTTACATGAAATTTTTAACCCCAATAAAATGAGGAAGTACACTGACATAGTAAGTATTCTATTGTTATTATTTTATTGCACTGAGGATTGAACCCAGGGCCTTGCACATGCTGTACAAATACTCCACCACTGCCTTACATCCCCATGTCTTTTTATTTTTATTTTATTTTTTTGGTACCAGGGATTGAACTCAGGACCTTGTGCTTGCACGGTGAGGCACTGTACTACTGAGCTACATCCCTGGCCCTCTCTACCTCTTTTTAATTTTGAGACTTCATCTCCCTAAGTTTGCAAGGTTAGCCTTGAATTTATAATCCTCTTCCTACAACCTCTTTAACTGGGATTATAAGTCTTTCCATCACATGTAGCTCAGTACTTTTCATCTCTTCCGTATTATTATCATCTCTATTATTGTTAGCCCTTCTGGAATGTTAGAAAGCTAATCTTGATGGTGGATGTATGAGCCTGTCTGTTGGTGTACAAGTAGAAATAGTAGGAAAATTTCTTTCTTTTCTTGTTGCTGTTTTTTGTTTGTTTGTTTGTTTTGTGGTACTGGGGATCAAACACAGGACCTTGTGCTTGTGAGGCAGGCACTGTGCTGCTGAACTAAATCCCTGGTCCTGAGAATTTCTTCTATATATTGTGTAGTCACAGAGCAACTAACTATACATTCTGGAATTTATGAGATAAACATTAAATTAAGGTGTTTGTATCTGATTAATATTAAAAACATTAAGGATGCTGGCATATCAATTTCCACAAAATACTCTTAATATTTGTCTCAGATTTTACATTGTAAAATTTAATCAGATAAAATGAAACAAACCATCAACTTTAATCCAACATTATAAATTATAAATTATAATTTTAAAATCACATAGCAAAGCCTTATGTAAAGGTTTAGTTTTAAAATTTAAGGTTATTTTAACATGTTTTCTCAGTGAAAAGTATTCTATATTGTTATGGTCTCTCAAACTTAGATAAAGGGATGCACAATCAGTACTTATAAAATGTTTAATATTTCCTACTTTATTTTTACTTCGCTATTTTCAACTTTATTGAGGAACGAAAAATTGACCTACAATACTGTATAATTTTTAAGGTGTACAACACGGTGATTGAAGTGTTTACCACAATCAGTTTAACTTACACATCTGTTACCTAACATGGTAACTGTGTGTGAGTGTGTGTGTGTGTGTGTGTGTGTGTGTGTGAGGTGAGAATAATTAAGATTTACTCTCTTAGAAGATTTTATGTAGACATTATAGTCTCATTAGCTATAGTCATGATGCTATACATTAGATCCCCAGGACTTATTCACAATGTAGTTGAAAGTTTACTCTTTAATCAAAGTTTCCCTAACCCCCCACACCCACTCCTAGCTTCTGGTGACAACTAAGCAACTCTTTGATTCTATGAGTTTGACTTTTTTTTTAGATGCCATATGTAAGTGAAATCACATCAATGTATTTCTATTTATCCATTCAGAAACAATTATTGCACACCCATAATGTGTCAGTCATATAGGCTATAGTAGCAAACACAAAAGGGAAAAGGAGAGGGGAGAGAGAGAGAGAGAGAGAGGGAGAAAGAGATTTCTGCATGAAACCTTCCATTTTGCTCTTTGCTATTAGTAAAACTCCAGCTTCCCTTTGGTTGAAACTTACAATGATGTGTCCATTCTGGATAATTCTTGCAGAAAACTTGATGAACACCATCAGAGATGTGCAGAACACAGCAAAACTCAGGCACAAGTCAATGGCTTGAAGTGTCAGGTGGTATTCTTCATAGTGGAGTGGGTCCACACAAACCGACGGGAATTTTGCATATGGAAAAGGAAAGGCAACTGCATAACCAAGGTAATTGGTCCCACCAATCCCTGAAAATGAGTAGAAGCAACAGGGGCCAAGGAGAGCAGATTCCAAGGCTATTGCAAAATGAAGTGGACATCCCATAATGTTCAGAATCACAAAGGTGAAACAAGCTTCCCACTGAAAATAAAGCAGAAACAAATTATTACTTTGGAGATGAGATATTGCAAAAGTTTTTTTTAAGCAATATGAAGAGAGATGCTGAGTATTAATCTCCTCTACTGGGAAAGGAAGGAGAAATGGATCTCTCTAAGCCTTGGTATTCTAGCCACCAGTATGCATTAGGAGAGAAAAACATGTCAGCCACCTGGAGTAAAAATGAAATCAATTCAATTCCTGTCATATGTAGAGAACAAGTCTGGGTTAGGGAAAACAGAGATGAATAAATAGAATCTCTCCTCAGACTTTGCCACTCAGGGTGGATTCATGGTCCAATAGCAGTAACGTATGCTGAGAGCCTATCAGAAATCTAGTCTCAGACCTTACCCAGACCTGGTGAATCAGAATCTGCATTTTACCAAGATTTCCTGTTAATATGCACATTTGTTGATAGTTGACAGGAGTAAAATCTGTTCAGATAAGGTAGTTTTTCTCTTTCACGAGATTACTGGCTCTGCATTATTACACTTGATCTTAGCCCAAAGTCTGAGAAGCAATGGCTCTGTATTGTTGAAATGAACGATATCATAGATATTTCATCTTTTAGAGAAAGAGAGGTAACAGAGAGATGAGGAGAGCTCAGAATGAGACTTAAAAATGTATTGTATTAAAGGTTGAGGATGTAGCTGAGTGGTACCGCAGGCATGACAACCTGGGTTCAATTCCTAACAGCACAAAACTAAATGAATAAACAAAGAAAGAAAGCAGAGAAATAGAGGAGATGCATTCTTCCAAAATGAGATTCAGAGCATTAACCTTAGCTCTGTCTTCCCTAAGGGCAATAAAAATCACAGGAACTTGTAGAAACTGTTGGAGTAGACATCAGATAAAAAAAGCATTCATTTGAAACATAGTTTATTACTGAAATCTATCTTAGTAAGGTCCCCAGTAGATCAAGTTCCGTTATAATTGGAAATCACATTTTCTGCATTCCATCCTAATTTAGTAGTGATTTGACCTTCAAACCCACTTTACCAGTCTACTCCATAATCTGTATTTACCAGGTATCTCTGTGTCCACTGTTTGGAAGCCAAAAGTAGAAGTACACCAGCTGTGATGGCCTGTGAAAAGAAAATAGGAAAATGACACACACAATAGAAGGTATCTCTGGAGAGAGTTCAGTCTGTCTCACGGTTTGACAACTTTATCTGAGCTAGAAGGAACAGTAAATACTAAGTAGCTTTATGGCTCGGCTCGCTTTATCTGTGGAAGAAAGTGTGATGACAATGAGGAAAATAAGCTGTTAGTGTCATAAAGACAAAATAAGAAGCAACACCTATCATGTACAGGTACAAGTTCCCTATAATGAATGTGATCATTATGTATATCCAAAATGTACCAATAATGTTTTGGGGAAAAAGAGACAAGATTCGTACAAGCTCAGTGTTTGATTCTTTATGTTGCCTTTGCCATCACAATTATAACTTCCACTATTGGAAGGTGGCACCATAATGAAAGTTTGGCTTTATAGCCCTTGCCGTATGTTCTAATTTGACTAATTATCTTTTGCCATCTTTCTCACAAATTTCTAAAATTGAGAAAAGGAGGAGCTGAAATGGAGACCTGTTACAGAAGCCTGAAATCCCTCCCAACAGTGGCATTGTCTTTTGCTAGGTGCTTTCTTTTGAGATTCCACAGACTCAGGTTGGCAGAGGAATACAAACGCATGATCTCTGCTTCTCAAATAACAAAAATTATCATTAGAATGAATGAATGATGCCGCATTGATTGTTCTGGGTGCAAAGGTGTGCAGCTTTTCAAAGGAAAGTTTTTCTTTATAGTCACCATTGAAGGAAAAAGGCCCAAAGTGAAGAATGAAAATAGTTAACAAAGAGAGAATAGTGTCACAAGAATTGAGGAATAGATAATGAATCCCCCTTCCAACCCGCCCCCAAAAGGCAAACCCAAACATCTGAGCTCATCTTTGATTCAGCACCAGGTCTGATAAAGGAGACCTTGTGGCCACTGAAACCAGAAATTGCTTATTCTCGATCCATATGAATCATTTGATCTTCCTCAAGGAATGTTTTGAGGTTAAGAGAAAACACCAGTAAGAGATATGCCTAACATCAGATAATGAATATGGGCAAGGCTAAAAACAGCGTTTTTTGTTTCTGACAGAGAAATAAATAGGACTCTATGTACAGAATAGCCAGATTGAAGGAGGAAGAATCAGAGCTTTTACCAATATGGCTTTGTGGTGTTCTACTTTTGCAGCTCTAGGATTGGCATATTTATTGTTTTGAGACTTAATTTTTTATTTTCCTGGCATATTTTATTTTGCATGCTGGATTTAAAGAATTTGAGAGGAGGAAACACACACACACACATGCGCACCCTCATATACATCACACACTCTCTCTCACACAAAACTTCTCACGTAGCTGAGCCTGAAATTCCAGACTTGGCACGGCCGTCCCATAAAACTCCCGTGGATGAAAACAGAACCATCTGTAGTCAAAAGAGGTTCCTGGCTTGATTCTGCAAGAGGAAAGTTTCCAGGGGACCCCGTGGAGGGTGAGCCAGCATAAATAGTACAACAAACACGGGATTAATGAGAGCAACTGTAACTGATGCTGTTACTGATGCTCCCAGAGGCTTGGCTCTCATTGACACATTACTCCTCTGTCCTTAATCAGAGAGAAACGTGGAAGCAAGATAAAAGCAAACTAGTCAGACTCACCCCTCTGCTGGTGAAGATGGCTGACATTATCAGATGCTTGGATCCTGGATTGCCTCAGTTACTTTGGCATGAGCTGTTTCTTTCCTTTCAAAAGTTGAAAAATGCTGTAGAATCGTCATTGCCTGTTATTTCTGTTGTAACTGTCAGCTTGAATTTTGCTTTGTTTACACAAAACTTTGAAAAAAATTTTTCATGGAGTAGACTGAATATAAATGCAGTTCAGTAATTTGTTACTTAGCCTGGGGATGGGATGAGAATGAGAGAGCAGTTCAGTAGCTTAGCACACCCAATGTCACCAATGCCCCCACAACACATGGGAGAAGAGTGGAGTACTGCCATCCTCTTCTCCTTCTTCCATTTCTTTTTGCACATTTTATCTTTAGATAGGAAGCAGAAAATAATTAAAAAGGAAGAAATTTGATTGTTGATGAAGAGTAGTGTTGAAAGGCATGTCACGTCAGAGTGAAGGTCTCAAAAATCAAGCTACGATGTCTGGATTTTGGGAACAAGAAAGCAATACCAGAGGCTTTTGAAGAAGGCACTAATCTGACTGCAAAAAAGTAGATGAAAAAGTAGAGAAAGATGAGGTGGCTGTCCCAGGCACGCTGGACTGAAATGCAATGAGACCCCAAGATCTGGCGGTCCTTGGTGTTCATACTTTTTTAAAACTTTACAGGGGCCAGGGATTTAGCTCAGTGATTCTGCTGCCTGCCTTGCAAGCACAAAGACCTGAGTTCGATCCCCGGTACCAACAAACAAACAAACAAACAAACAAAAAAACTTTACTCATTGTAAAGAATATATCCTGTATTATGTCTTGGTTTTAAATCTTTTTATATCTAGAAAAAATATACATAACCTTTGCTGTATGTGATGCCCTCAAATACTCTCTAGTCCATTCAATTCTGTTCTTTCTATATTCTTCTAGCTATCTAATAGATTGGTTTTATAGTCCACTGATGCAGTTGTCCCTAACACTTTATATACTAGGGAGAAGTTTCATGGAAGACAATGTATCCATAGACTGTGTGTGTGTGCGTGCGTGCGTGTGTGTGTGTCTCTGTGTGTGTAATTATTCAAGTGCGTTTGATTCAGTATGCACTCTATTTTTGTTATGTTGTACTATATAATGAAATAATTACATAACTCTTGATCAATGGAAACACTGAGCTTGTTATCGTGTAATTATACTGTCTCATCTGAGGGTAATGGGATCAGTGACACCTGAAATATATTGCTTATGTTCAGTTTACTCTAATCTCATTCGGTTGCTGTTACTGTAGAGAATGCTGTTTCACAAAGAGGATGCTGGGAAAAGAAGCAGATTGTCAGTGCTTCCGTGTCAATCTCAGTATATTCTGCCTTGATGTGAATCCAAAATGTATGGAGATTTGAAGTTGTCTTAAACTTACTTTTAAGGTCATTGTTACTTTTGCAATCTCAAGCAGTTGCTCCTCTTTTAGCATGGGAAAAATCAATTCACCTTGATTATTCAAAAATAGGTTGTGGATCCATTCCTTCCCAGTTTAGGGTTCTCTTGTAGCTGGGAAGAATGCTCAGACTTTGAAAGCTGAGATAGATGATCATGCCCCAGATGGGAGAAAAAAGGCTCTGGCTTATTCTCTTTCAGAATCTCTGCTAATGTTTGAAAAATGTCAAAAATCCCAATTTTCACTTATTGCTCCCATAATTCCAGTTTGGCTTTGAACACAGCCACTTTATCTGCCAAATTGAACACAGTTGCCATTCTCTGAGTGACAGACTGAGTTTATTGAGCAAGTTGAATATGTTATATAAGCAAGTTTTGCAACTCATTCTATGTGAAATGTGCTCCCAGTGATGACCATTTTTCTAAAAACAAACAAACAAACAAACCTCTGTAGCAGTGCTTATAACTCAAAAATTCTAGCCAGTGATCCAACTTTAAAAAACCATTTCACCATTTGAGAGATGCAGATGTAAACAACACTGAGAGTCTACCTCACTCCACAAAGAATGGCTGCTATCAAGAAATCAACCAATAACAAATGTTGGAGGGGTTGTGGGGAGAAAGGAACCCTTCTCCATTGTTGGTGGGAGTGCAGACTGGTGCAACCACTATGGAAATCAATATGGAGATACCTCAAAGAGTGAAGACTAGAGGTTCCATTTGACCCAGCCATCCTCTTCTGGGTATCTTTCCAAAAGAATTAAAAGAATCATATCACAGTGATGTATGAGCACCCATGTTTATAGTGGCACAGTTTGTAATAGGTAAAACTTGGAAACAGCCCATTTGCCCATCAGTTGGAGACTGGATAAAGAAGATGTGCTTTTTCTATTAAATGGAATACTACTCAGCCATAAAGAATGAGAAATTAGAGTCATTCATAGGAAAATTGATGCATATTGAGGATATATTCTTAAGTGAAATAAATGAGTCACATATGTGTAAATACCAGTAGTTTCTCTGGTGTGAATAAACTGTAACAGTACATAAGATCCTAATGGTATTATTGACAATGTGAAATAGGAAGAAAAGGGCTGAAGATGTAGGGAAAGTGGGAAAGGTAGGGAAAAGGTAATAAGGAAAAGAAAAAAATACGAGAAAATGAAAAAAATGGAAATAAAGTATTTGTAAATAGGGAAGGGAGAAGGGGTTGAATGGAGGGCAGGGAAAAGGGGAAAAAATGAGAACCAAGACTTGTCATGTAAAGGTACAAGATCCCAATGATGAATGTAACTGTACTGTATACCTAAAATGTACCAATAAACTCAATGAGAAAAACAAACAAACAAAAAGCCATTTCACATCTGTGTATGAGGAGACATGTGTACTTTATGTTCATCTCTTCATAGTGCTTTATGAACAGACATTAAGGGCATGCCCTTTAATGTGATTGATAGTTTTCATTACATCATGCAAAACCTTGTTAAGTACAGGTGATACTTTTCAGTTAGATAGCATTTCTTAACAAATGACAGTGTGTAAACTCACTTTCAGAAGTGCACTCTTTGACCTGAGCAGGGAAACCAGATGGCTGTGCAGTCATGGCAGCTACTCTGTCCATACATATACTGGCACAAAATGACAATTCAGTTTTCCTGACATATAATCATTCAAGGCTTGAATGGTTCAAGGCTGTAGTGTTGGTTGGCAACAAACGTGCACATAGTATATCAGCATGCACACCCTCCTGAAAATAGATTAGACAAGCACTGTTGCCTTGTTTCCAACATGGTAGACTTGTCAACCTGGATTGTATAACATAGTGACTCCTTGAACTTCTCTAACATTTGTGCCTCAGTGGCCTCTGCTATTTCATGAACTTGTCTAGTTATGATGCTCATCAAAAGAGGAATGTATCACCTTTTGAACTGCAACCTATCCTAAAAGTT